TGCCTCGTCGCCTCTGTATTTTATCTTGATTTTTTTTTTAACCGTGAGCCGAAAAGTTTATAGAGACAATGCCTACAAAAGCTAAGGTTGAAGGAGTAAAATAGTGCCTGGGATGCAATGCTGACAAATTTTGATTTCTTCGTAGTATAAGCTTAGTGATTTTCTTCCATATACAGTTTCTTTATAATGGATTTTACTATTGTTTCTCACAAATTATTTTCAAGGTTTATATAGTGGCTTGGATCCAATTATGAGTAAAACTTTAGAATTGAATGGATTTACAGGGCAAAATAGTCAATTGGGGGGCAATCTTGTAAATTGACCATCTTTTCATTCGATTTCATGAATGACAAAAATAAGGAAAATGATTCATGCTTACTTAGCCCATAGAAAAATCTAATAATTTATCTGATTAATGACCATAATTCGGTCGTTTGATTCAAAAGTAACTATTAATGCAATAATAATTCTTTGTGTATCAGTTGTTCATTTTGTGTATTTTTTAGGCAAATTATTAATCTTATAACTTTACATGTCACCTTTTTTTACTATATATATAATAATAATTTTTGGAGGTAAAAAAGGGTTCCTTCAATTATTATTTAAAGCTTTGTTGTTACATAAAATTTAACAACCACAATACAACGTAATTAAAGCGAGAAAGTTAAGATTTTTGTATTATCACGGGAATTTTTGTAGAATACAGGAGTCGGTTTATATAGTAATCGAGATAGCACATGGATATCGAGAGTTCCATCCCTTTCATTGTAACAAGTTCTGATATTTATAGTTTTAAATGTTTTTGACTTTTGGTACGGGGTAGATAGAGTCACATTAAATGCGATATTTTTTTTTTTGAGGCGGTTAGCCAATCGTCGAGACCGCAATGATTACATTTTTGTTCTCGGTCCAATAAAAAATATGCTTAGTCACCTGCTTTAGGATTTGGTCAAGTCGGTTCTCGGTTAGTGAATGGAGGATTCAGAAACCCGTTGAGAAGTCGGTCATTTACGCCCTTTCTGAGGAGTCGGTTTAATTATCAAATACTGATCGAGATGAACCTTCTTTCCGAGATGATTTATGTTGGGTATGAAAACGAATTTAGAATAATAATTCTGATTATCTTCATTATGGAGTGCAATTCAAATCGGTTGTCAACAAGCTTATTGACAAACTTCTCATATTTAACAAAAACATCTAAAAAAGCTTTTGGACGATTACATAACCAATTCAGATACTTTTAACAATTTCAAAATTCACAAAGTTACATTATATAGTGTACTTCACTGGGAAATGCTATGATCCCGTTACGAAATTATTATGCCGGAGTTTGTAACCGTTAGATCATCATGTAATCGTCGAGGATAGTTGATCTGACAGTTACAAACCCCGACGAAATGATTTTATAACGGGACCGTAGCATCTCCCGTACTTCATTATCGTGTGGTACTTTACTATTGTATGTGTTTCATATTATCTAGTTTATTTATTTATACATACGATAATAAGCTTAATGTTCATTATCTAGTGGTACTTTACTATCGTGTTTCATTATCGTGTGGTACTTCAACTATTTTTTTTTTTTCTTCTTAATGTTCATGTTATGATTCGAGTTATCGTGACATTTATCTAGTGTAGTATTCATATTTATCTAGTGTACTATTCGCATTTTTCTCCAACAATCTCACCAAAAAAGGAAAATTCAAAATACCAAACAGAAAAAGAACAGAAAATCGTTGGAGAGCACGACGGAAAATGGCGGGACAACGCCGAGCCCTTCCTTCCACCATCTCCGATTCGGCAAACACGCCGCGACAATCACAGATCTCGTCCGCCATAGACCAATGGGAGGTACAGTACTCGCGGTTCGTTTGCAACAGCTCGTGCACCAATAGCCGCACTCACCCCTCCCTGTCGCCCATCCCCAAGCACCGCGCCGGGACCTGGATATCGGCCGCCGCTGCCGCCTCTCTCAAGCTGGAGTACCGCCGGTCATCCCTCGGCGCTTGCGACGCAGTCATCGTCGTCTCCATCCGGCATCACGTATTAGTAAGTGCGAAAATCACTTCAGTCGAGGAGCTCGCGGTGTTGTGCCGTTTTTTGGTGATTTAAGAAATTGTTGCGCCAGTTTTAGTTACTTATATTGGTAGAATCAGATCGATTGAGCTCGTGATTGTTGAATTTGTAGCGAATGCCTATAGTTTTGGGTGTTGCAGAGTTTATTACTGTACTTCGATGAATGGATTCTAGCAGTTTATATACCTGTAGTGCAATAGATTTTTCGCTATGTCATTTACCGAATTCTGTGTGTGTGTGTGTGTGGGTGGGTGTGTGTGTTTCAAGTATTTGTATGGATATCATGCATTTTCTGATGAATTTTGCAGGAGGAGCACTATGTGACCAAGATGAATTTCTCCTGGCCTCAAGTATCATGTATGTCCGGGTTTCCTGCACGAGGGAGCAGGAGTGTTTTACTGAGCTATAAAGATGGTGTTGGCCAGGCAAGCATATGCTTGAATACATTAATGTCTTTTGTTATTTTCTTGTTTTTTTTTTCCAGAGAAATGTGCGATTTCGTGAATGGAGAACGGAGAAACTATCCTCCAAATAAGGGGTTTATTCGGAGTATAGAAGATAATAGGTCCTACATTTACCAAAAATGCGTTTTTTGAGATGACTATAGTTGTTTTAGATGGTGAAACACTTCATTGCACTTGGTGGTCCTTAGTTTTGACTAGGAAACATCAAAACTGGTTTTGAAATTCAAGGGACAGTATGCTTGTGATGATCATCATGGAAATACAGCTGTAGAGTTTTTCTAATTTCTCAGTCTTTAGTTTTTCTACTGTGCTTTGGTTTTCATAATGAACCTTGCAGCACCACCTGGAACATAATTCTTCAACTATCTTAAAACTGGGTTTTATGCTTCTTTTGCAGATGCAAAAATTTTCTCTACGGTTCTCGACCATCCACGATTCAGAAGCATTCATGACTCTTGTGAAGGTACATACATTACTAAAGACATTCTTTGCTACAAACGTTATGCATTTGTTGTATCACAAACTTGGTAGAGATTCATTGATTTCCTAAAGATGTGACCTCAGGAAATCATGGAAAGCCGAAAAACCGAGCTGCTTGCGGGCCCTGTATTTGAATCCAGTGTGTCATCCCAACATGAGGTCATATCTTCTAATGAACCTGCACACAGGTAAGCAACCTGGCAATTGTCTTGGTACCTTCTGGTTGTAGAGAGAGAGAGAGAGAAAACCAAGGATGAAAATGAAATTGATGTGCTGATTTCAAATTACAGGCACAATATGGATAAAAAGTGGAAATCATCAAACGTCAGTAGTAGCCAAGTTATGCTTCTTAGCTCTATACTTAATAAAGCTCAAGATTCAGAATCACTTGAAAGGATTGGAGGCAATGAAGCTGCCGAGGCAGTACCGGTGCTTCCTCCAAGTTTCTCACCGTTAATGAAGAACTGTTGCCCTGCAGTTTCAGAAGGTTGTTTCCACTGTCATATTAGACTCTGCACTAAGTTGTTCATTTACTTGTGGCACTCACTATTTCAACTCATTATCTTCTAGCAGAAAAGCCAAAAGAACTTCAAGGCGATCCCAAAATCCAGTTCATGGTAGAGCCTAAAATTTGTTCACATACGATTAATACTCTTTTTAGCAAAATTTTAAGTCGGTGTGAAGGAATTTTCCACTAATTATCTATTTTTTTATTGCTTCTGCAGAAATACCTAGAGGAAAATTCTTTTACTGGTAAACAAACAATATCTCTTGTTTCTTATCTGTTATGCATTTGCTATTTAACCTGATGAATAGCCTTGGTTTTCTTTGTATTTTCAGATTTGTTGGCTACGGTAGAGGATGTTATCGCTGTCTTGGAAGGAGACATGGTGCTGTAGATCTGCTGAAAATAGGAGCCGCCGCTTAAGTAAAACCAAACTTTTATTAGAGCTAAAATTCAGTGAAACAAGTTTATCAATGAACTCTCCTTTTATATCTTTTACAAAACTTTCTGTCTGTCTCTCTGTGACAGAGAAAAAAAAAAAAGTTAAAATGCAGGGAGCATGAAGACAATTTTACTAGGATAGGTCTCCTGATATTGTGTGTCTCGGGCAACTATATTAACTAAACAAACAAACAAACACGTTCAGTTGACGACCCGACACTGTCTCCTTATCTCCCCTTGATCCCCCGTGAGCACCTCGAGTCCCCCCACTTTAGTAACAGCAGCCACAAACTTGTCCAGCCATCCTTTCTGATCATCCGCATACTTCCTCATAATAAGATTCGCGCTCGGCTCGTTCACCAGGTTCTGGTCCGACTCGAGCAGTGACCGGTTCTTAAGCAGCTCCTTATAGAACCTCGAGTCCATCTTCTGCTGCGTGAGCGGGTCGAACGCCAATTCCTGCGTCTCGTTCACGCATGCCGTCATCACCTGCATCTTCATCAAGTAGCCTCGGTCGATTGCTGCCGCCTTACCCGGGTCCCGAAACCTCCCAGCCACCACCGTGCAGTGGGCCGACCCAACCGAGTGGGCCCCGATAAGCACGACCATCTCCTCCACGGTCAAACCCCTTGCCTCGAACATCCGTATCATCTCTTGGGATGTTGTCTCGGGAAACGGAAGCCCGTCCTCGGCGTCCTTCATTAGGGAGGCTCGTGCGTCCCGCCGGCCCACAGGGACCGGGTAGGTCGGGACCCCCGTGAAGACGAGGGAGTCGCGGTTCGCGAAGGCGAGGAGGTCCGCGCACGAGACCACGCCGGGGCACTCGGACTCGAGCCGGGCCTTTGCTTCATCGAGGGGCTCGAATCCCCGGACGAACTTGCCGTTCTGTGGGGCCTCTTTCTCGACAGGCCCGCCCATGGGGGTCCGGTCCAGAAGGATCGAGGCGTCGCAGCCCTGCGAAACGATAGAATTTATAAATAAAACACTTATTTACAGTCTAAAAACAACCAGTAACAACCAACTTAAGTAGCAAACAACTGAATGAATCCAGCGGGAGGTCTACACTGACGGTAGCCTAAAAAAACATAACTCAACATGGCGAAACTGAACGTGTAATCTTACCGTGATGAAACAATCATGGAAAAACAGGCGGATGAGAGCCGGAGCAAGGGTCGGATCCTTCTGGAAGTTGGTGTTCATAACCTCGCTAACGATCTTCTCAGCCTGCGGGCAGCTCTGCTGGTAGAATCCCTCTACGAGTGCCCCTGGCTTGGGCTTGGGTATATGGGCCACCGGTATCCGCTCATGTTGTTGTTGTTTGGCTCTGTTTCCCGACCCATCCGCGGGCTTGGGGCCTGCGGGGTTACTTTGACCTTGACCTTGTTCTTCCCCATCTCCTTTGGGCTTCTGCATACCGGGCTGGAGCATGCCTGGGAGTGCCTCACCACCCTCGATGCCCCTTATGATTCTGGCAATGTCATCGAGATTTTGTGGTGGGTGGTTGATGATGTCGTCGAGGCCCGGGACAAGTGGTCGTTGCACGGCAGAGACCAGCACCGGGAGGAATATTGCGCACGAAAGAAGATTCCTCCATTTGGAGTACATTTTTCTCTACTTTTCGGGTTTACGATGCTCCCCATTGAGCGGCTTGACAGAGGGAAAAGGTGTTTATAGAAGTTGCTGTGAGGTTGGCAGTGATTTTAGGTCTAAAAATGGAAGAAAAAAATGGATGGAGAGGTTGGAGGAGCATGTTGTATATATATAGGCAGAGTTGAGTGGTTTGTAGAAAAATTGATAAACGGTAGATATTCTGTTTACATAAAATGAAGTTGATAAAAAACTTGTGTTCTTCTGAATCTAATATTAATGTATGCAAAAATTTTATAGAGCCATCGATGATTTTCTTATGGAGTCATCCACCATTTAATGTGTTGACACCTGTCCAAGTTATATTTATTGTAGGACACGTGTCAATACACTATTAGTGAATAAGTGTAGATGACTCCATAAGTCGAGTCATCCGATGACTTTATAGCAAAACTGCATGGGGAAGAAAGAGCGACATGGCATTGTGATTCTCTTAAAAACGATAGTTAATATATTATAATGTAGGTATTCAGTTAGCCTGTCTAGTAGTCAATCATACTATTTTACTATATATACATATTATCGTACTCAAATATCATATTTAGAATAGAACATAAACAAACATAAGCAAAATTATGATATTTCATGAGTTAAATATATATTTTGCAAGAAAGTATGAATGTAATAGTTTAAAGGTTACTCACTGCAGACTGTGTGTGTATTATATTACATATTGAAAAACCACATTTTTTAAAGCTTTTTTTGTTAATATTTAGGTGATAAATTAAAATACTTTTTCTTAATGCAAATTACAGTTTGGAAGGATGAATATATTTATTATTTAAAGAATCATAAATATACAAATCAAAAAGAATCATAAATATACTAATTAAAACGAAAACGTAATTTTCTATAAAATTACGTTGTATTTGACAACGTAATTTTAGTGAAACGACAGTGCATTTTACAATTGAACGGGGATGAGTATTGTTGGGGGGCTGACCCGAGATGATATGGGACAGTGGATCGAGGGCTTTCTATTGAATATTGGGTCCTATACCATTACGAGAGTCGAGCTCTGGGTTCTCCTCCAAGGACTTCTTTTGTCGTGGGAGTTGAAATATCAGAAAGTTATTGCTGAATTGATGTCATATGTGTTATTAAAATGGTGTCTCGTTCGGATGGTTGTTCTGGCGCGCTTCATGAAGCAATGGTTCAGGCCATCCGCGGATTAATCCAAAGGATCTGGGGTGTTAGAGTTCAACATGTCCGTAGAGAAACGAATTTCGTTGTTGATCATATGGCGAGCTTGGCGGGCTCCTATCTGTCTGGTCTGCATCGAGCTTTGTCACTGCCTATAGGGTTAGGAGCATGGTTGGAGCATGATAACAACCAAAGACTAGAAATGATATAGATAGAAATCGAATTTTGGAACGAAAGAAGAAAAAAAGCAGCACCCAAGTTTCCCGTGACAATAAGCATCTTGATAGAGAGAAAAATCAATTACTGAAATTAAAGCTTTTTCTTTGGCCTAATTATCAATTAGAAGATTTGGCTTGTATGAATCATTACTGGTTTGATACGAATATTGACAGTCGTTTCAGTATGTTAAGGGTATATCTGTATCCACAATTGAAAAAGAAAACCTTAGACATATCCCGGCAAGTTAAAGCATAGGCCTTCGGCTTTTTTT